CGTTATCGTACTGGTTTCTCTAAATTATATAAAACGTTAGTCAAACATTATTTATTTGATAGAGTAGTTTAACCTCTTGTACTAGCAATTAATGCTTATAATACAAATTATTTATAAATAATTCAATTATATAAATAGTTTATAACGCATATACCTTAAACTCAACGTAAAATTCAACCTTGCTCCTATGAGTTATGAATATAAAATAGTATGAAAAATAATAATGTGGCAAAGATCCAGCGTACTATTTATCAATTAGTTCCTCATAATTTTAGTTGCTGCAAAAGATGGGACGAAATATAATTTAATTATCTTAGTATTTGATATAACATGCCATTGTCAAATCTCATATCGTTGAACTACCGGCCATTTTAAGATTTTATATTTGTTAAAACAATCAACTTTATGTTCGTTGTAAATCATTTTTATTGATTATGATTCTCACATCCCAATTATCCGTGATATGGGATACTATTATGGAGCAGGAGAAGTATGACAGTTTTCCCTAAATTTCAGCACAATGCAGACGTTGGAATGATATTTAAATACTAATTTCTTCTCTAAAAATCTCAAAAGAAAAAACACGCTACAGAAAGAAAGAAAGAAACAATAATGCAGTAATTGTCCAAAACACAAAACGATAACAAAGGAGAAAAAATTACAGAGCTAAAAAGGAAAAAGAACTTTGTCAAATGAGATCTCAACTAAACACATTACTAGAATATTGATAGCTAGAAGTTGAAGAAGGCTAAACACAAATAACAAATTAAAATTTTATATTGTACGACTGAAAATACTCTTTGTTCCAACTTCCAAGTAAACTACTACTTATTACCGTTAAAATATCATGGTATAGCCAGTTTTCGCACTGGTCAATGAAAAATAGCCAGCGTTTATCAAGTCAATGAAAAATAGCCACTATTTTGCTGCAACAGGGACCGGTCCAGTATAATATACGGGAGTTCTGGTGCATTTGTGTACGAACTCCAGCATATTATGCTGGACCGGTATACTTTGCTAACTCCTGTAAAATTTGCGGGAGACTGGAGCACCAGTGCTCCAAACTCAAGTATATTATACTGGACAATTATACTTGCTGGAACTCCCGTAAAATTTGCGGGCGTATTTTTCTGGATTTTGAACAGTGTTTTCGCTCAGATTTAAAGTGGCTAAATTTCGATGATTTGAATCTTGGCTATTTTTCAACGACCAGTGGTAAATCTGGCTATTTTTGAATTTCTCCCCTTATTACCTATGTTTATTTTTCATAAGTTAAACTCAATTACGTAAAACATTTATTTAACTTCCAAGACGTTATATTTTATTATAGCTAAATAGATGGGTTTTCTTCCGGAAGTGTTAAAATCAAGGAAAAATGACATTATATAACCGCAGTAAAAATAAGCCGAAAGAATATATATATATATATATATATATATATATATATATATATATATATATATATATATATATATATATATATATATATATATATATAT